CAGAGGTCCTGTACTACAGGAAACAAGCTATTGTAATGCAGATTTCCCCTCATTCCTCAAAGGTGTTCCAGCCCCAGAGTTCCTCCCAGCCTTTGTGGAGAGCAGTATTTCAGCCGTCCCTGCTGGCTCAAAACGTATGCCTTGACTAACAAGTGGCTGCGTGCTGAGAGACATTCTGCGAAGCTGCTCGGCAAAGGAGGGGGGACTCGAACGTGCAGGTGGGAGAAGCTGACAGACCATGCATAGCAATCTCCTCACTCAACACAGCTCCTTGAGGGACACGGTGCCAGCACGCTTGAGGAAGGCAAAGCCTCTCCTGGAGCAGCAACCGGCTCACAGGTTACTGGTGACGGGGGAAACAAAGCGGATGCGCAAGAGAAAGGCCAGGCCCTGCGTTATCGCTACGGCAAATAACCAAATTGCTGCAGGTTGTCATAGTTAAGCTGGTTTTCTTCTGACCTGTGCTAAGCTGTTTATTCCAACTAAGCTGCTTATAGCTCTCCGATGTGACCGAGATCCAGGAGCAAAGCCTGGCTCCCTCTAATCAATGCTGAAATAAAGAGCCACTTAGCATTACCTTACTGTCCCCAGGAACGGTGATGGCTGGAGGGCTTGCTTAGCCACGGTGGGAGTTAGGATGTGGGTATGCAAGAGACTTGATGACTACAGCGGCTTAGTGGCAGCCCTTAAAGCCATGTATTACATTATAGCAGGGGCTTGGAACTAGATAATCTTAAGGTCCTCTCCTACGCCAACCATTCTGTGACTCTATACCCCACTGTGCTTGCCAGGCTACTTATTTCTCATTTGATAAATATTTAATCTATAAGAAATAGTATCTAGATCTTAACTTGCACAAGCACACTTCATACTTCTGACTGGACCGGACAGTCTAAAGGGAAGCATCATTTTTCTTGCGTATTACCGTTGCTGACTGTTCTAAGAAGCTTCACACGCTCTTGTCTCCTCTTAACTCATCTACAAAAGCTGTATTTGCTCTTTAAACTCACAGCATTAGGGAACGCATGTGTCAGGCAGTGCTCAAGAGGGACAGAAGGGACCAGTTTGCATTGCACCCATCGGGCAGGCTTCCAGTGCATAGCAGTGTTTCTTCACTCCGCTCTTTTTCTTACACCAAACTGTAGCTTTCTCAGACACAGTTCTCAAGCCAAAACTCAGTTTCAGCTTTATTTATAGAAACAGGAAAAGATACAAAATTATTAGAGCTGTATAAAGCACTGAAAAAAAAACCAACCCAAAACTGATTTTAGGTCAGAAATAAGCATACTGTGGATGCCCGACAAGGTCATTGCCATACTGGAGTGGGAAGTTTGGCCTGCATACAAATTGGAATCCAACCGCTCACAGCAGCCCCTTGTTTCAGGTCCTAACAGTAATGGAGAAGACTGAAGAGCAGACCCACGCCTTTCCAATGTTAATTCAACTGAATTACAATGTTTAAGTTTGAGAAACTTCTTGCCCTGTGCTCAGTTCTACTCCAACATCAAGGCCAGACTTCGATCCTTTTAGTACATTCAGAGGCTGAGAGCAACATACTTCTTTGTGGCTGAGAGGATCCCTGCAATCATTATCAATCAATCAGGGGGGCCAAGTCCCTGGCCAGGAAGCATTCAAGGGAAGTCTTATTTTCATCAGTCCATGGTACCTCCTAGGAATGACTGCCAGGGGAGATGATGGCGTCCTCCTGGGTGAAAAATCTTTCCCTAAACTTAAAGGGCTGGAGCTTCTGCTTTGAAACAGCAAGAGATGGGCTGCATCTCCACACAAGCAGAGAGCTGAAGCCTCTGCCCTTGTTTCCTCAAGAATAAATGATGCGGGGTGGGGGGAAAGAAGGCTGCATAGTTCTAAGCAGCAGAGACATCTAAGCACCAAGCTGAAGCCTATCGTCTCATGGACTGAATTCCTTGTTGAAGGAATAAGCCATCTCAGACTTGGCTGAAGCTGCAGCAGTGACGGAGAGGAGGACTCTCCCTGTGCCCCCCAACAGGCTGAAATGGCCGCTGGGGAGCATGGCACAGGTTTTGACAGGAGTCCTTCTGCTTTGGGGGCAAGAAGGCACTCTTGGAAGAAGCCCTCTCCAGGCCTGCTGGCCTTCCGCCGGGCCTAAGGGGAATGCCTAACTTCAGGAGGTCTAAAGGTCTTCAGACCCCCTCTTTTGAAGGAAACCATTCCCAAGACTACCGAGAAAAGGGGCTTGTTTTAAGGTGATACTTTACATGAAGACATTAAAGACAGAAAGCAGACTTTGCTACAGTAGCTACAAGAGTAGGTTAAGGCTCAAGTGCTGCAGTCGGTGATAACGACAAATGCTCTAGCTCGTATCAGAAAGCAATCAAGAAGAACTGATGAGCATCATGGCCTTTGGGGAGCAGCGTAAGTGCAGGGCACAGCCCTGTGTGCCCCTGAACAGAGGCTGTGGGAGATGGGGCTTTCTGAGTGCTGCAAGGTGGGGAACAGCTTTCCCTCTCCATCTCACAATAAGCAGCAAAACACTGGCAAAAATAAAACCCATCTATAAAATCCCCACTGGGAGCTGCTGCTGCCGCCAGCGGACAGAGTCACAAAGAGGCTGCCTTATCAAAATCATTCCAAACGCTCCAGAATCCCTCCCCAGCCCAGCCACGGCCCATCAGTGTTTCTGGTTCAACTCCTGCATTCACAATCCAGAATCCATTAAGTGAGCCTTTGTGTTTAACGCCTTGACCAAAGGCTTGGCCTGGCACATCCTTCTGCAGTGCAGAAAAGCCAGCCACCTGCCTCCCGAATCCCTGCTTTGTGTCATTCCTAACTCACAGCGTGCGTCTGCTCCCATTCAATCCCAACGTGAGCGTAGCAGTACAGGAACGTGAGGACGGTCAGCGTCGCCCATGGCCAGCCTACAAACACAAAGACAGACAATGCCAGTCAGAATCATTAATGGCTGTTTCGAGTAGACGTACTCTGGGGAGGACTTACGATGCTTCTCATTAGTGCTGTCAGCAATGCAGTCTCGGGCGGATGGAAAGCCAGCCCACCAAATTTGAGAGGGGAAATCTGCCTTGTCTGAGCTCCAGGGATGCCTGACCCCCTGCAGCCTCAGTCTGTTCCAGTTTTAGGGAACTGGGCCAGGTTTATTCCTGCTCCGCACCTCCAAACCCTCAGTGCTGAATTAAAGAGGTCTGTTTCAGTCACCCCCTTCGGGGTGGGTTTGTCTCTGAAGCAGCTCCCTGAATGAACCCCGACGCTTTCAGCTGGCTACAGCGCTTCCCAGGCACAAAGGGATGCAAAGCCACAATGCAGCTCATTAGAAACCAGACCAAATCCAGTTACCTGTCCTGCGGAAACCTCTGATCAAGGCAGGTTTAGGTACCCTGCAGCTGGACGTAAAAACTGATGCATGCATTCTACAGCCCCGTAACAGCTAAGGGGTCAGAACACCACTGTGCTGCTGCAGAGCTGACAGCCCTATTTGCCCGTTGTGGTTCTTATGTTTTAACTAGAAAGACTGAATCCTCCAATATATAGAACTTCTGCTGGGGAAATTCCTCTTCTCCTTGGAATTAATGAAATGTAGAGTTTATAGGTTGAGATCCTGAGCATTAGGCCCTAGGGATTTTTGGTGCATTTTGGCGGGGAGAAGGGGAACAAAGGTGTTTGAGGGGCTTTTTGTTGCTGCTGCTGACATAAGAGTTTTGGTTATGTGTGTGACTGGTTTCTGTAGGCCATCCTCGCCCTACCAGCCCCTGTTCTTCTTTTTTGTAGGCTGGCTTTGTCCAGGCTTCAAGCTGATTCCAGGCTGGAAGCTGTTTAATTGTGCCGATGTCCAGCTGAGCCTTAGCTTATGACGCTGCCCTCGGCAGGGGACCAGCCATGCTGGGACCCTTCCTCTTTGCTCTGAGCATCCCAAGCAGTGTAACATTCACCCTGAACAGGCTCAGAAAATGCTATTTTCTCCCCTTCCAACCTGCTGACTATCCCCAGGCAGAACCCGGTCGGAATACGTAGGGGCGCAATGGAAATCTTTCTATGATGCCTTAGATTTATGGTAGGATTCTTCCATAGTGCCCACAACCTGGGTTTGTGGGGCTCCCACGTGCTCTAATCAGGCTTGCGGCAATCCTCCTGGAGCACAGGGAGCCTCTCCTGTACAGTCACAGGTGCCAGGGGTTGTAGTCAGTAGATTGCCTCCTCCCGACCTAATCAGGATGAAAGGGAAGGGGAAGCCAGCGTGACCCGCTGCAGGTGATGGAAAAGGGGAATTTTTCCTATTCAATCATTGCTACAGCTATTCTAGGAGGAGCTGCACACATCCCAAAGCATTTCTTGCTGCACAGGTAAGAGATAGTGAGGGCCACTGAAAGGGGGGACACCTCTGCCTTGCTGGCCCTTTCTTGCTGTACAGGAACCAGAGGCGCTGCTGCTGGGCATGGGGACATGCCTGTGCTGCTCCCCCTGCTCAGTGAGTGAACCAAAGGCATCCCAGTCTGATGCTGGGCAACTCCAGATTAGCTCCAGTCCACACGAGAGATTTGCACGAGAGCATCCACACCTGAGAAGTGGCCCAAGGACAGCCTGAAGCAAGGAGGGGATCGTAGAACCGTCTTCACTCCTCTATATTATTAGGTATAAAATAGCTGAAAAGCCTACAGAACTTGGTCTCCAAATGGTGCCTGTGGGAGGGACACACTGAGCACTACTAACCCAGCAAGGATGCAGTTTCACATTGCACCCAGCCTGTAAACGACCTGTGTGGTGTCCCTGTGTGTGATGCCTCTAATCAAACAGCGGCATGAGATGCTCTCCTGCAAGGTAAGATCTCAGGAGCCTTTTCCTTGCTTAAACAGTGTCTCCTTGTAAACCCAAACAAGCAAACAGGACTCTTGCTCTTGGACCTGCAGTTCCAAGGAAGTCCCTCTTCCTGCCCTGGCCCAACAGCATCAGGTACGTTCTCCCCTCTGTTTTGTGCCGATTCCCATTCTGCTCCTCTCAAACACCACTCAAGGGGCTCTTTTCTCTGGTGGCTCCCCAGCTTTACCTGAGCACCCAAACCCACTCACCCGTGCTGTCCCAGACTCTGCTTGGCAGGGAACGTGCCTGTGTTCTAGATCAGTGCCTCTCTACAAAGTCCCATACACAAAACGTACCCTTAGAAACATCACTGGAGTCAAATCAAGCTCTAAGCTGGGAGGAAATGACTGAGTTAAGTTTGTCTATTGAAAACCATGTCACCTACCACCTTAAAACTTCCAATTTATTGCCTGTCTTAAGTAGTGAAGGCCCAGTTTCACGAGACAATGTGGAGTTCCACAATCTTTTTTTTTTGGTGGAAAATGAATTACGATTCCTTAGCATGTGCCATTTGTAAATCCAAGCCCACTTCATGTGCTTTTTTTTTGCAAATCCAGCAATGTTTCTCAGCTTTACCTCCACAAATCTCTTAACTCAGCTGGATTTCCCTATTAACAACGGAACGCTGGGTGAGGCGCATCAATGGAATCATGAACAAATCCTCTAGCTTCTACAGGTACGCTGCTCCACAGGCCATCAAACACAAACTCCTCTGTGAAGAGGCCTGTGAATTCTGAGCAAGGTAACAGCAGTGCTTTGTCCATCTATCACACAGCCTCCTCCCAGAGAAGTAAGTCTCCAGCCATGGCTAGGCATGAGCCCATGCTCAGTCACACAGAGCTCATTTACGGCCCTGTAGCCCTGCTGCTTTACAACCCCACTGTGACAAGTTACAGACTCAGCTCTTTCAGCAGAATGAACAGGAGACTTGTTCTCATTACATGCTCAAGCCAGAAGGAATACAAACTAACTGCAACAGGAACAGCTTTTGGAGTTACTCCTTCCTTGCGGCTTCCGATCTCGTCTTCAAGAACACTCCTGGATGCTTTGGGCACACTCTGCAATGCTGCTCTCAAACGACCAGTTATGTCCTCCTTACCTCAGTTCACATAATTTGAAACAACATTTAACCGTGCATCCACAAGGAAGCTCTTTCAAACTTCCTAATCCCCTACAGTAATGAAAAAGCAGCACAACAGCAGTATTTCTAACAGAAATATCCACTGTGCTATCCTGTCACAGATACTGTTCTCCTTCAAACAGCCCAAGCTCTGTGTTACAACAAGGAGAAATGGAACAGAACATTTCTCCTGGAGTTCATTCCTCTTCAGAAGGTACTAAAGGAGAATGTGAAAGCAATTATCATTTCCAAATCTTGGTGTTCAAAGCTAGTTCTGAAGGATGTTCTTGTCCTTATATACACCCTTCAAAACACAGCACTGGGATACTAACCAGCAAAATCACCCTTTACAGAGAGCAGTTTCCTACAGGCTCCTCTGAAGTGCCTCTACATACTACTACCTTCCTATCTGCCTCCCTTTACTTACAACTAACCCAGACAGGAAACCGGGTATTTTCAATTAGCATGTGAGGGGAAAGAGCCAAGCACAGCCTCTGTTTTCCAGCTTAAGTAATTTTACCATTAGGCAAAGGCCAACATTTAAGAAAGCTCTATGAAACTGGAACCTCTAACAGTAAACAACACTGTTCCCAGGTGTAAAGAAAACAAACCAGAAGCAATTACGGAAGTATGAGACCTGCTTGGAATTCAGTAGTTACCCCTCATGCTTTTATATGTCTCTCTATCGATAGATATCTCTATCACCCACTTCTTCAGTTTCTAATAAGATCCTGTCAGTGCCTCCCATTGCAGGACCCACCCTTAGCCAGCTCTGGAGTGGTTTACAAACAGCTGATGGCATTGCCCTAAGCACTTCTGTGCTACAGCTCACCCCAAGAGCAACATTCAGCGAACGACGATGCCAGCAGGGCTGGTAGAAAGCCAGGAAAAGCTCTTGCGTAGGTTGAACTGTCCCCTCTCTATGATAAAGGAAGCTTACCGTAACGTCATGTCACAGGGCCAAAAGCAGGGAAGAATAACCATGTGAAATGCTAAATGAAGACACTGTGTGGCTGCAGCGTATCTGCACGGGTTGCTGTACCATAGCTACAGCAACAGAATTAGACTGACAGAATACTAATGTACCTAAATCACCCGTCCCAACCACACCTGCCCCGTCTCCACCCATCTCCGTACCCTCTGCTTGAGCTGACGTGAGCAGGCAGGGAGCTAAAGCTGGTCTGAAGCCTTCTTCCACAGCTGATCCTCCCACTGCTCCCCAGGCTCTGTACCACGTAGGGAATTCGATGAGAAACGCAGTTTCTCACCAGTCTCTGTTTTCTAGAGCAGTGCTATTAAAAGACTGCTCCCGCATGCATGAAGTGCTGCAGGAACAGCTCTGCTCAGGGAAGCCATCTCCTAATTATTTCAATTCTTCCTGGCATTTGGTGATCAATTTCTTCTTCTTTCTTTTTAAAATAACCCATATTTGAGGATAGGCCCTTAAAAATACAAGCGTGTGGAGCTGCTCCTCTTCAAAGCCAGCACAACTCGTAATACTTGAAACCTTAGCCTAAAGGCTAATTAAGGCTCCTAGTTTCTGGGTTTAAAATGTAAAATGAAGAGGCTACTAATATGTTATTCAAGTGCCTAACTGAGCCGTGCGAAGTCATGGCTGACTGAGGCATTCCTGTCTGCGCACAGCCTGTGTCCTTGTGTGGGAGCTGTTATTAATAAGCATCTTCTTTTTGCACGCTCCCCGTTCAGCTCCTGAGACACCAACTGCTGCTGCTGCTAGCAAACAAGCCTGGAAGAGGGAGCCGACGCAGAGAATTTCACTTGCATTTAACTGGCTTCTCGGCTGCTGTCAAAGCGGGGGTATCAAATCACCTCCAGCTGCTCGCTCAGGGATAACTGTGAGGAGGGTGAGGTAAGACGCCGGTACAAAGACGATAATGAATCTGGGTGCAGAAGAACACATACGGCAAG